TGTTGCCTAGAGATTCTGCATTCACAAAGTGATTTCTAATTATACAGAATAAAATGTACACAAAAAGTCAAATGTGATTTGTCAATACTATTCGGACTAACACTAACATGCCAATTCCAAAAGTGGTTCTCTGTTCTAATTAGCAAATGTTAGCATGCTAATAGCCCAAATTTAGAAATGTAAAATGGTTTCTCTCAGAACGTTATTGACAATGCAGTTTTGTAATCATCGTAATTTTAAGGAGACCAGTCAGCTCCATGACAAGAAGAAGCTCCTCAAGCCCCGTCCAAGCACTATAGATCTTCACTTGTCTAACTGTCACAATGCTGACAACGACCACAATTCCCGCCAGCTTGCAGAATTTCTGGTCCTTTACATGAGAAGTGGACTCAGAGGAAAATAAAAAGTCTCAGAATGGAATCTTTTTTATTTTCACTGGGGGATAATGTGGGCCTGCATCGAAGCTTGACAACTGAAGTCCCGCTGAACTGTGGGGCTTGATGACATCTCACTCTGGACTCTTCGCTGTCGTCTCTGGGGGGGAAGCTACTGTCTCCACAAAACCACAAAGTTCACTTTTAACACATTTCATGAGTCGTCTCAACCGCTAACCCATCCAGCGTTCCCATGCTGTCATGTGGTCTCTGTTCTCCATGGCATTCTCTAATCACTTTCCTTTTTTCTCTCAACCTCTTTCCCTAACCTTGCTTGCCCCTTTCCTTTTTAAACCCCCACTCTCCCCATTCTCTCTGTCCCTCTTCACAGATAAGTAGGCATCCCTCACCTTTCACATAGCATCACATGGTAGCAATCAGAGTGGGCTTTGGCAGACAAATTAGGGCAGTTAATGTGGACCGGAGATCAGTGCAGAGGCGGGGAAGCTGGCGCTAAATGCCACCAGATGGGGCCTGAAGTGGATCGGCCCGGCCTGACGCAGTACGGTACAGTATGGCCTGGGGTGAGGAGCTGAAAGAGGGCCTGAGCCTTGAGGAAAGAGGAGCATTATTACTAAATCAATTTTTTTATTACCGAGAAATGGACCGTTGCCAGAGATGGTACACACATCCTTTACTCAAGTAGAAGTACAGATACTCGTGTTTAAAAATACTCTGGTAAAAGTAGAAGTACTGACTAAACTTATTTTCTCAAGAGAAAGAAGTATGGGCTTTGAAATGTACTTAAGTAAAAAGTACCCATAACTACCATCTGTTTTAAAGAGTAACTGACCTCCCTTTATATTAATAGAACAATAATGTCATTGTTAGCTAATGAATGTTTCGATGCTGAACAACGGCAACATGACAACGTTTTCATTGGTCCCTCTTCTTTAGAGAAGACCAGGAAATGATGGATACACAGATCGTGTTAAAATCAATAGGCACGCAATGACTCTAAATAATAATGATCACGCCACCAAACACACATTCAAACTAAAGTAACAAACCTGTTTTGAAAATGTAAGAAGTAGAAAGTACAGGTATTTATGTTAAAAATGTAAGAAGTAAAAGTAAAAAGTCGTAGTGGAGTAAAGTACTGATACCAGAAAAATCTACTTAAGTACAGTAACAAAGTATTTGTACTCCATTACTTCCCACCTCTGACTGCTGAATAGAGAAAAGATACATTCGAAGCTAGTTTTAGTTAAAAATGACAGTTTTTTCATTAAACCTGGGTCTGATCTGAGATTTGTTTTGAGAAATTCTGTCTAGAACCACAGTTTTTTTGAATAAATGCTTACAGACATATCGTCAACATCATTGCTCCCTTGCTCGATAGGACTTTGCAACATGTCTTTCTCTGTCGCTTTAGAAACTGTGTATATGTATTCCAAAAAATGAGTCAGAATTCTTTTAAACACAGCCCCCAGTTCACCTCTGAATTATGCATATTTAATCAAATCTTTGGCTGACGCGGCCGATTGGACTCAAAGCCAATTCAGAATGGATACTCCTCAAATTGCACATGTTCACCAATCAGTCTGTCGTCACTTGTAAAAATGTAAATGAATAATGCTCTCGGAAATCTATTAATTCAAAAATACTTTTCTCCTATAAAATGTGAGACTCATCATACGTTGCTCTGTCAGCTGTCCTCGTTTGATGAAGCGTTCCTCCTGTATAGATGATAAATTGACTCTTTACATCGGATCTAACCAGTGACCTTAAAGTCCTCTCCATCCGTCATCCAGGCCAGCTTTTGAAGAGTGCAAGGTGAATTATCTTTTAGACATACCTCTCTCCTAAGACTTTGGCCAAATCAAAAGCCAAGACGTTCTCTGATTTCGGTATCCAACCTTTATCCTGAACCGTAATGCGTGCCCCAGGCCTGATCCCACAGTAGCCCACCATGATCCGATTGGACGATTCTTTGCCAAATACAACCCTGCAACATATTGAAAGTGTGTTTTTCAATACATTCATTAAAAGTGTTAGAGCCCACATTGAAGTGAATGTTTAATAATTACTTACCCCTAAAGCCAGGATTGTAAGTCTTGAAGGAAAGCTATTCAAATGTGCCGTAATAAGTGAGACGACTCACAAAGGGGCTTAAGCAAAATCTAACGGTGTAATTTCTATTTGTCCATCTGCACACAATCCGCTTTTTGTGATCACCTTAATACATGGGCAGCACACACACGCACGCACACACACACACACACACACACACACACATTCCTCTTATGTTACAGGCTTTGAAGAGGCAGGCTCATCCCCATTTTCAACAGTACCCAATCAAACACAAAGCTGAGGGGCGGATTAGGAGCGGCTTGTGCTGCACAATGCTCCTATCAGGGACCACACTGGTTTTAAATTACCCCCCTATTCCTCACTCATTCTCAATCACTCACTGGCCCAATAAAGTTTGTTTCTCCAATAAAAAAGAGCAACAAAGGAACAGTGAATCCCAGTTTTGTGTGACAGCAGACCCTTACAATTCTCGACACTGTGTGTTTGTGTCTGGAAAATTGACCATGAATGTGATTGGCCTATTTGTGGGTTAGAAGATTGGATGGGTTTGAAAGTGAGAAGAAGACATTTCCTTTTGGAGGCATTGAACATGTGCTATTTTAAGGTTAGATGGAAAAATGGAAAAGATTGAAGGATGACAGATGTGCGAGCAGAGGTGTGGTCATTGTCACGCATGTTGTCAGTTCCAGAGGGAGTGGTGTCTCTCCAGTCGGCAGCTGGTTTCACTCAGAGAAAAGACATGCAGCAGAGAGAGAGATCAGACCTTCACCACTGAATATTTATGATCTGGGTCCACACAGATTTCTCGCCACATTTTTTGCGGTTTTCAGTGGGGGTTAGAGCTTGGTGACCCACACACACTCACAGACTCACAGACAAGCATACATGAGTGTTCACAGATACATTCAGATATTCACACATGCACTCGCTGTCTCCAAGGGGGAAAAGAAAAAGAAGAAATAAAAATAGAGGAAATAAGTCATAGAGATCATTCAAATGAAAAGTGAAAAAGAGAAGATTTAAGAAACAGACCTACACACACACACACACACACACCAAGACCCCATGCTGGAAAATGCCGTTGTTGAGCTTTGAAGCACAGTGGTAATGAGGCTCCATTTAAAGCCAATGAAGCCGCTTTGGCAGCTTATGAAAGCACGATTGGTAAGCCCCCCCCCTCGCCTGCCGCTGGGTGGTGTGGATGTGTGATTGTCAGTAAGATGGGGAGGGGGAAGAATGGACAGTATTTGGCCAGATCCGCTTTGCTCTTTTCTAAGATTAAGCTTTTCCCCCAGACGAGTCACTCCAGGCTCAAGTTTTCCAAACACACTTGAATTTCACACAGGAAGCCGACAATAATCAATATGATTCTCTCCTGCCATTTGTTGTTATTATAGATATCTCTGATAACAATCACAAGGAAAGTTCCTCAAGTCTTTGTGGAGCCTATTACACATTTATAAAAGGTGGATTAGGGAGAAAGCCATGTTGTTGGCAGGGACAGAAAGAGAAACAAAAGGGATAAAGTTAAAAGGTGTGAAAAAACGGGTTTCAAAGCCTGTTGTTGATATTAATATACAGGTGCAGAGGCGTAATCCCAATCGTAAAGCAAGTAAATGCTGTTTAATATATCCTTTAATACATAGAGTGTGGAAAAAGGCCTCTTAATGGATGGAAAGGTAACCTACTGGATTGAGAGACTTTGGGGATAGGACGACCAGCCAAGGTTCACTTAAACGTGGCATGATAAAGAGAGGCAACTACATTTACAAAATAGTTATTTGTTTGGTTGCAACTTGACAACGCTGGCAGAAGTTTTGATATCTCTTTATCCTACAATCTGAAAACTCAAGGGACAGGTATTAATGGAAATATCTTCTGGTGAGTATTTGAGTTAAGATAAGTCAGATAATGCAGATCAATGCTGAAGCTGATGATTGTATATAGGGACAATGTACAGTAGTTACACTTTCCATGGTTTGTATCTGGGTTCAGGTGAGGGGCTTAACTTCATAAAAGTAAAGAAAGAAAAAAGAAACCGTGTGTGTGTGTGTGTGTGTGTGTGTCTCCTGACAATTTCAGCTACCTCTATTCTCAAAGCCTTGATGGCCATGCCTGGGGAGAGAGATGATAAATGGTGGCTTTCCTGTAAATGACCTTCAGCAGGATGGATGGAGCTAGCCTGTTTGGTTAGAGGGTGGAAGAGAGGAGACTGTATAGGTGAGGGAGAAAGCGAGAGGAAGGAGTTTCCTGCTTTGGACCTGACTCTGGAGTTGGGTTTCCCTCAGAGGCGAGGTACACGCTGTTTATTTACAGAGCTTGGCCCTTGCTCTGTTACTGCAGACTGTTACCTGGTCCTCTCCCCCCTCCAGACCCCAGTCTCCCCCTGTGAGTGGAAACACACTGAAGCATGCCCACTGTATGCGAACATACTTTCCAATGGGAAACACACACATATCAATCTGACATTATTTCCACAGCTCAGTCTAATGACTGCAATTATAGAGACACATGATCAACACAACACACAGCTCATTAACTAATAATTTATTTTTGTATCATTTAGATTAAAAAGTCAGTGGTTCATTGCCTCAGAGGAAAAATGTACAAGGAAGACTTTGATATAGCAGAAGAGCAGGACTGCACTGAGGGAAGAATCCCTTTGTTCCCAAAGAGTGATAGGTGGACGATGTATGTGTGAGTGAAGCAATATTCCCGGGAGATGAATGAAAGTGGTGGGTTGTCGTGTCAGATCCTGTCCGTGACTCTACGGGAAAAGCAGAGGGTCGGATTAACCCGCGTCACATTTGCACTAAGTTCTCCGCAAAGTCATTAGCGATAGGGCAGTTGTTGTCTGGAAACAACATAAAACCATAAAAATAATAAATTCTGTGTAATATCCAAACCACATCTTCTGGCCGTGATCACAAAAGCATATGTTTCTGGTTTCCACATCCATATAACATCATCTGGTTTGTACATCCATACAGTGAGTCATCCGGGGCCAAGTGACGCTTTCACAACAGACAAACATGAATGGCAGAGGCAGTTCAGTATATTTACAACATTTAAAATGACTCATTAAACAAGACATGATGGAAGTGAACCAAAACAAAAAAATTGGGAATCAGGCCAGGGGAAATGTAAATTATATTTCTTCATCATAAGCTGTTCAGACTCGTCAAACATTAAACAGTGGCCAAGCTGAGGAGCTCTGAGCTCCGTCAACTGAGAGCTCTCTCACCTCCAGTTCATCACTTGTTTACTCGTGTAAGGTTAATTAGACACACACACACATACACACACACACACACACACACACACACACACACACCTGTGAATGCTATAAATGCTGTGAAGAGGGGGGGGGAAACAAAGCAAAGCCGTTATGGCCTCAGTTCCACTGCCAAGCTGCTGGGCTTGTTAACGTGAAACAACAGGACGGCTCTCCCTATGAGGCTCACTAAAAAAAACTTTCACAAGACTTCGCTTCCACCCCCCGAACAACATCTGGCTCACTTTTTACTTCTTATCTTTATTCTAACATTCAGGGTGGGCACTTGAGAAAAGGAAAACAGAGCCAATAGAAAAAGGAAAGAAGGATTTTGTGCATGAAAGAAAGTCCAGATTCGAGGACACCGCGATTTCTTTGCAAGTGTGTTGGGTGCTGGAGAGCCAGAGAGGCCTCCTGGACACGCACTCTGACCATCAATCATAAAGTGTCACGCCGAACTCACATACCGGGGCGAGGAGACTGGTGCTACTGTAACACCACCTGTCTGACGGCCCACTGCGGACAGCCAACACACAAATAATTGACTGTTTGGTTCTGCATTTTTGCAAAATTCCAACGGTGGGAATTGTGCCCTGGGCATAGTGCTGTCAGAGCTTTTGGTAACACTTTCTATGACTCCCACATCTATAATGCATTAAAAACATGCTTTATAATCTGCTAATAGCACTGTTTCATTATAGTTTTAAGCACTCAAAAATATAAATATAATACATTTTATAAGAATCTATATGTCAACCATCATAACACTTAATAATATAATGCATATAAGGAGATAACACGTTTCTGTAGGTGGTCATTATTTGCTTTAGGTAAGAAATATAATTAATGTAAGAAATGTTGTTCTTGTCTATGTTTAATTATCTTGTTTCATCTTTACTTTAAGTTAACCTTAAGAGTAACCTATAACATGTAAAAAGCATACAAAATGTATGTATTACATAAATGGGAATTATAATATATTAGGATTATGCATACAAAAATGTGACCAGCTATTATAAAGTATTATGATAGTTGACCATATCAGTAATTATAAGTGACTTATTAGGTCATACATGATGGTAATTGTTTAACTCATTGTCCATTTTACGAGTGCTTATAACCAAAAGTATACAGTGGTATAAACATATAACACATTGCAAGTGTGGTTATAATGTTGATGTTTTTAGATAAGTGTTACCAAACTTGTTGTCTTTTTGTGTTCTTTGCTCTTTTGTCACACCACACAATCACTGTGGGTAAATTCATTTTGGTTAAGGGTTTTGTTTTTGGATTAGATGAAATGTGTCATTATAAAAACAGACAGATAAGCATAAAGATCAACCATCCTTGAGCAACATCCCGTTCAAAGTGTATAATAGCATTGACTGTCATGGCGTCCACATTCTTTGTAACATACATTTCATAAACACTTCACAATCAGACCGTACACGAGTGAGCGTGTTCTTCACAGTTTGACATACATTCTCGGAAGACGTGAAAACAAGAGCTCCAGCGCGGTACAGTAAACCACTGAGGGGGGGGGGGTTTGGCAGCCTCGTTCTGCGCTGTCACTTATCTGAGACACTGAATACACAACATGCAAAATGGGTTTTAAAAAAAAAGAGTTTGGGGGGGCTGACACAGAAGAGAGAAGAGACACTTTTGGAAGAATCACAAACCAAACTTACGGCCGCAGCAAGGGGAGCGTAACCACTCGCTAGCATGACAGGTCTGTCCGCACACTCACTGCTACGCTAGCTTGATGCGCCCCTCAAAACTGTGTTTATCTTGTACTCTATTTAAATCAATTCTAATGTGCTTTACAAAATGAAATAACAGCAAAAGGCAGATAAAAAGCTTGAGAGCAACCAGACGGTCTCTCTGTGGTTTTCGTTGGTCCTGACATCTATAGCCTCTTAATTGAATTGAAAAGCTGACTACGCTTATTTGGCAAAGGATGACAGGGTCTGTGTAAGGGTAGGCAAGTGGGGGGGGAAGATGACTTGGGAAGTTTTCCTTTGGATGCTCATTTTTAGTTTAGGTCTTGCTCGGCTCACTGTAAGGTTTTGATGGACCAGCAAAAACCACAAACATGCAAACATAACAAAGCACATGAGGAATGAAATATGATCCTCACATGTCATAATACAATCAGTGAGCACTAAAACCTTTCCAGCCTCATTCATTTTGTCAAAATACACTAGAGAAAAACACGATTATGTTGTTTATCCAACTGTTTTCTTTTTACTGCATGAAAAGGAACTCTCGTTTCAATCTCTTATTTCGGCAAACAAGAGCCTGCCAGTCCAAATGTTCAGACATTTAAATACAAATAAATGACAATGGTTACACAACAACATCTGGAAGGCCACTACCGAGCGGAAGACATTATCCATAAAGCAAAGAAAAAGTCTCCTCGGAAATATTGGGATTGTTCTGAAATTCCAGCCATTTGTCCACAACGCTTAATCTTTCTTCCAGAAAAATGTGACAAGCCATGAGTCATGATGGTGATGCATGACTTTATAAACCACTCATGAGAGGGACTAGTGGTGAAGAGGCACAGCCCCGGAGGCCTGGAATGTGACTCACACATGCAAACAGGGTTTGTTCTGCTTAAATGAAACAAAAGGATATATCTCAAACAAGGATATGGCTGTGATATGGATGGATGAGATACAAGTAGCCACACGAAGAATATAAACTCTACTATGAGCTGTGGCGTTGAATACTTGCAGATACAAGAGCCTACACGAGCAGTTCGTTCTGTGAGGGCTGTCTGGTTGCAGCAGCAGTGGTGGTGCGACTGAGGTTTGCTGTGGAAAACGTCCCTGCACAGTTTCATAGTTACAGTCTGTAGGAGTTACTGCAGAGACCTTTAGCAAGTAGGTCTAACATTTTAACAGCAAACGTTGGAAGGTTGTCAGGTGATCCAGTTCGAACTGATCCGAGTTGTTCCAACAATGAAACGTGAGGAGGCCAAGCTGAGGGTATGCAGCCTGTTTTGTTGCTGAGATCAGTCAGTGACAAACACTGTTGAATAAAATCCTCAGAGTGTGAAATGTGGTATTTTCATACGTCAAACAAAGTGGCAGGAGACAGTCGGGTCTTGACAGGAAGCGGAGGCTGAGGGTCAGAGGGTCGTCGTCGGGGGACGAGTGGACATTTCCGCTGTCGTCGTCGAGGGAGGGAATAGCGTCTGTTTTTGTCTACACTTCATACCCTTTTTAATGGTCCCTTTTGAAGGCAAACCAATTAGACAAAACAAAAGACACAACAAAGACAAACCTTGACAAATAAAAAGGAAAATAATTATACAATATACACAAAACGTGGTCCTTAAAAACAGGAAGGGTACATGCAGTCTTTCTAATGTGCAGTGTTCCCGTGATGGTGGGAGACGGGGGAGGAGACAGAGTTGCTGGGTAAGGGTTCATGAAGGTGGGTGATGGAGGTAGGGATGAACACTTCTGTCCCATCACGCTTTGCTGCACTTCCCCTTCTTCTCTTTGCGCTGGAACTTCCTCAGACGTCTCGTCCAAACGTCCCTCCACTGGATCACCAGGCTGTTCTTATCAGCCATTAGGCCAATGCGCTCCCCCCCTGGACTGGTGGCCCCGCCCCCAGGCCCGACCCCGGGACCCGTCCCTGTGCCCGTCCCGCCGTCGCTGCCGCCCATCACCAAGAACCGTTTGCTCATCTGGATCTTGGGACACTTGCAGGCCAGGTCCTTCATGTGGACCCACAGGATGTTGTCGCCTCGCTTCAGGGGCTCTCCGCGGCTCTTGTACACAGACACCAGGTTAACTGAGAACTTGGCCCAGTCCCCGACCGTCTCCATATCCAGCACGTTCACCTGCACCGCTGAGGACACATTCATAAAAAGACACCCTCAGGTCAACAGTCCCAACACAGTATGTCTCTTAATTATGGCTGTGTTAAATTACATTTTCTTACCATAATCCTTTTTGCAATATTTCTTCATGTTGATCTTCAGGTTGCCCTTCACTGGTTTACAATACGACTCACAATCTGAAAAAAGACAAGGACAAAACATATTTACTCTAGCAGGCTGTAAGAATACTCACTGACACTCAAATTACACACATAACGGGACACTTACACACTTGAAATTGGAATTGTTGTCATAAGGTTGGCTGTCATAAAGCATTATGTGATGCTTTTGTAGCAGAATCAGCACATGTGTAAAGTTAGTTTGAAAAAACACTGTAAACTGTTATGTGCTGTGAAACCACCAAGAAACAATACAGCTAAAACAAAAGCAATCACCAGGTGGCTTTCACATGGACACATGCCACGTTTGTGAAATAAACACATTATGTGCACTTTCTTTTAATATATATATCTGTTGTAATTTATTGTCTTTTATTGTGATTGCAGTAATGTGTTTTTATTACATGTCCAGCACTTTGGCTCGACCAATAATCGCTTTTAAATGTGCTTTATAAATAAAACTTGATTTGATTTTGACTGTAAGAAGATTATTGTCGAATTAACAGTATTTTAACAAAAAGGATATAGTAATTGCTGTATTTCATACCACTGTTATATTACCATTACACTTCTTACAGTACTTTGTCATTCTGTACAATTCTGTGCAGTATTATATTATATGCGACCGTAGCCTTAATCTCCTTGAGTCTAAAATGTAAGTCACAAGCAATATTTTCTGAACGCTGATGTTAAAACTTACAATAAAACAAACGATAGAGATTTGCACATTTTTTTTGGCCAGCTGTTTGATTTATTGTAGAACAATAAACAGTTCCACAAATGCATTGAACATGTACAGTGGCATTCTGTACACAGTAAATATATTAAGAAACTTAGAATGCATTATTACTATGAAAACACAAAATCAAAGCTACTTTTTGGATTAAATGTCTACTTAACTCGAGCACGCTTATATCCCCACTTGCCCTCACAATAATATATATTCACTGACAGGGCTAAAGGTTGGATAATGTTGAGCTTGGTTTGGTTGTTGGGTGCTAAAATAAAACTTCTGACGAATCACACATCAAACTGCTGCAGCAGCCGGTGCCGGGACGCACGTTGAAACACACCAGAGTATAGTAAAGTGTTCGGTTTGACATGTTTTCGGGGGTCTGAGAAAAGACAGAGCGTGGTGGAGGCAGGTCATGGTTGGATGCATGTGAATAGACCTTGGCTGCCAGCGTGACGACGGAGACCACACACCGGACAGATGACCTCCACTGACCAATCAGGGAGGAGCCGCCGTGATGAGGTGTTATAATTACCATCGTGACAGTTAAAATAGACCTCTTGGCTCAGGGAACAATCTCCGATCTTTTCTTGACTGTCTTAAAACAGCCTTGGTTTGGTTGTCATGCATCTTTTGGAGGTTGACACTTCTTTAAACCGTCACGTGAATATGGAAACTGCAGTGGAAACAGTAACGCTCAGATTTTTCAGGCAAACCAAGGTCAGGAAGCTACTACTTCACATAATTTTACAATTTGGCCGAAGTTTACTTTCTACCTGAATAACAAATGACAACCTTTCCTTTAGACCAAGAAAGTTGGAGATAGGTTTAGTCGGAAAGATCACATGCATGCATCTTTTCCCAAGTTTTTTTCAAGCAATCTTGAAATTAATTTTGTCATCGTCAAGCTGTGCTTCTTTGTGATCTCGAAATGCATTTTCCATGAGCTTAAAGCAAAGAGAATGCAGAACTAAGAAGACAGGCCAAACTTAATGAACTTTCAAAAGCAGATGTTATTGTTAGAAATCAATAACAAGTGTTTTTAAATTGTGCTCATGGTAACTACTGCCACTGGAGATGTGACAAGAAAAAGAAATAGACCCTTTTAATCATTAGCCAGGCTCTACTGCACATGACATTAGGTTTTATGAACCGTAGAACATTAGATCCACTTATTTCAATTGCAAAACTATGAGGAGGACACACAAATATTAAAACAATTGCCAAGATAGTCAACATGGTTTTTGTCAGTTTAAGTGAAAGGGGTACAAAAACCTGACCATTCTGCTGGCTGGGAATGTGGGGGCATAAAACTGAAAACCCACATGCTGGACTGGTATCTGCGGTCAGGCCGCTCATTGCCTTCAAGAGGAAAACCATTCAGTCATGTTGCTTCCCAAAGCAAACCAAATAAAATAGCTTAAAGTGAAATGCCCCAATTAGAAAAAAAAAGCAGCCGTGAGAGAGAGGAATTACATTTTTGGGGTTGCATGAGAGTCGGGGTGTTTCATCGTTCATTTTCTGGGGGGGGAGGACGGATGGAGCAATGGAAGGAGTGCAGCAGGAGAAAGAAACAGGGGACCAAGGAGCCCATAAAAATGTCCAGGAGGCTTGGCTGTATATCAGAGTGCTGGAGATTTTATTAGCCAGAGTGAGAGAGAGGAGAGACAAGGAAGGAAAGGGAGAAAGAGAGAGCAGATGGCAGCTTCCAATAACTCAGAGACAGGGTGGCTTTAAAAAAAAAACGATGATTGGAGGTGTAGATGTGGACGGGTTCAGAGGTGTAGGTGTGGATGGATTTGTGATGCTCACATACTTGAAATAGATGATGTTAAATATCATAGCTTGCTTAGGGTCTTTTTCATTATAAGTGAGCTTGTGGTTTCATGTGCAGATCATTATCATGTAAGTGTGCATGCAACTGTGACAGGCATGCATTTGTATGAGTTGTGCATGGATTTCATTAGTGCACTGCCAATGTGTGTGTGTGTGTGTGTGTGGGGGGCTGGCCTGAAGGTATCAGTGGCTGGGAGACAGTGTGTGTTTTCCCATGAATGAAGAGCCACTTACTGCTGGCTGTTCACCTGGAAAAGCACTCGGTGAATCGCCCGTTGACCCAGAAGACCGGCCCACTGAAAACACTCACTATTGGCTGTGGGGCTCTCGATGCCCTCGTTCCCTTCAGCCCCTCTCACTGTGCCATGACAAGGACAAATTGCACCCACCGCCCCTAACACAAAAACTTTTTTTTGGGGCCTTGGGTTTGGACAAGGATTGGGGGAAATGCTCTGGGGTGTTTGGTGGCACCTGAGGTGAATTGGTGATCAAGAACTCTTGTGTTTCAGGACCCTGTAACATTTTCCCAGGGAAGAAGTACACACAAGAAAAGACTGTGTATGTTTTTTTGAAAAAGTTCAAAGGCCCAAACAATGAGCGGAAACAGAATGTGAGAAGTCTAAAATAAGAAACTAGAATTACTTCCTCACAGTATGCCTCTGACACACAGTAGTGCAGCTTATATTGATGTGTGTTATCGCTTCATAATTTGTCCTATTAGATGTGTATGTAAAATAGTCATTTTTAGCATGTCAATTCTTCAGTTATGGCCAAAAATGCATTTTGTGAGGTCACATTGTACTGGGCCTTCTACCATCAAAATGGTATAAGTTCATAGGGTTGAGGCTGATAAAAAAAATCTGAAAATATGATATAAAAAGTTGTATTATTGAAATATAGTATTACTAAACGCTGTGGTTATATTGCATGTGCTGTAACTGCTCGCCTATCAAGGTTCTCCTCCTGGGTTTTTCCTGTTTCCAGTCTTTGTGTTGAACTGATTCAAGCTCATTTAAATAAGCCAATTTATTATATTTATTTATGCACATGAGAAGGGTAAAAATACTCACATTCAACTCTTGGCAGTAGTAAAATAGGCATATTTTCTGAACTGTCAAACTAATGTTCAGTATAAATTCTATATCAATTTAATAGGGTTTTCTCTTTATAATATCGGCCTATGTAATGTGCAGCGACTGTGACCAAGTTTGGCATTCAACTTCAATATTTTCCAGTAAATTTAAGTTTGTATCAGCCATTATAGACCGCATTACCCTATAACTCAAACTGTATATGAAATGTAGGAAGTTAAGAGTGTTATGAGCAGAGATCTACTGACAAAATAAACTTTAGAGAAGAGAGAAGATACAAGAATAATAAAATGACATGCTGATGCTGTAAAGTGTGTGTGTGTATGCGGGTGTGTGAGTGTGTGAGTGTGAGTGTGAGTGTGAGTGTGAGTGTGAGTGTGAGTGTGAGTGTGTGTGTGTGAGTGTGTGTGTGTGTTAGATGATCTGCAGCCTGAGTGATGATATATTCTATAAACTCCCTAATGAATCAACATTTCCAAATCAACACCACCCTTCAAATCAAATAGCCACAGAAGGAAAAATAAGGGCAGGGTAATTGACCGGAGCGCAAATTGGACAGTTCGAGGGAGAGACTGAACAAATTTCCCCTCAGCCTCTTGCCAACACTTTTTCACGCCTCAAAACTCCCCCTTCCAATATATCTCCCAGCTAAACTTTAACTAATCACCTCTGCTGCCTATCTAGCGGCCTTGGCTTTTAGCTGCAGTTACAGAGAGAGCACAGCGAGGCTCCACTAACTTGAGGTTAGCGGTTTTGGGGGATACTGTGCCAAGGACACGGGATTTTAAGACAATGGAAAAAGTCTGCAGGTCCCAGTGCACTCGTTCTCTTTGCCGAACTTCAAAAGCGGAGACCCACCCTTCATTAATATTTATTCCACACCTTAAAACTCGGTTCCAGAAATATTAAAAAAATGTGTTTTTGTTCCTCTCATAAAAGCAGTGGTGCTCATGGGCGAGGTGCAGAGAGCGAATACTAACCTGCTGGTTCCTCTGTGCTGCTCACCACAACTGTGGGGTTGACCACCGGGATTTCTGAAACACACACACAAAAGAAACACAAAGTTATTTTGCTGCTTAAAATGTACATTCATGCCTTTCAAGTAGGGTCGTTTAGATTCTGCTCAATGCCTGCTTTAAAGTGCATGTGTGATTCAAGAAGTAAAACTGAAATCATTAAAAAGTTGCTCCGAAGTGTTGGCATGGAAAACCTTTTTGAAAATATCAATAAGCCCACAAAATAGGGAGAAATTAGTGTTGAGAAGAAGTAAAAGGTGTATGAGTTCACCAAGGTCAACAGGACTAAATACCGAGGTTGTCATACAGTAGGTTTGTATTGTGACTACTACATGGGACAGTGCAGATAGACATGCCAGATAAACACTGGCAGACTGACGGGGATACTTATTGGTGGTGAGAGGGAAGACAGGCTTAAATAAACCATGCATTCCACAGACTAACATGGTGGTTTCACTGTCATTTTGAAAGAATATGTTTGAAAATCCTGAGAAAGTGGAAGACCCAATGGAGATCAGAGGAGCAAATGTAAGTTTAAGAGCCAAACTCAGAGGATGCATCACAAATTCTCCCAGTAATCCAGTTTGGAGAAGTCAATCCATTCAAAGTCGGCACACATCTGAGGCAGGGGTTGATTCTTTGAGGTTGAAATAGAAAGGTGGCTGCACTAGATTAGTCTCGTCCTCCCCTAACAGATGTGGGGTTAACACAGCTATGTAATCTCCATACAAGACAGATGGACGGATGGCAAGGGGGCAATTTTGGTTGGATCGCCTTGAGACAGATGCAGCCCGCCCTCGCTGTGCCCGCTGGCTCCTCTCAGAAGTGCCTTGTGGAATTCCTCCAGGACTTCAATTTTAATCGTATGCAACTTTCCAATACAAATGCTAATGCTAACAACGGGCCCTCTGCTTGGACCGTAAACAGAGTTACTGGAACGCCGGCTTAGCATCCACCCAGAGGATCTGCTTTTGATTGGATTTGGAGGTTGAAGGTTTGAACCAAGCGAGTGGGAGTGTGTTGGCAGGACGAGGGGGGGTTTGTTGGAAAGCTGTTTTGAGGGAAAAGCAGCAGTTGTCTCTCTGAAATTATGGACACCCCGCCAACAAAAACAAACAAGGGCACAGAGCTTTGTGAAGGCAGGCGCAGCTGCTCGAAGCCACTTTGAGTCCGCGTGCCCCCATGGTCACATCTTGTGAAGACAGACAGATGATGAAAGGATCATTCAGATGAGGGTTGCTGCCATCATACTAATTGGCTGCTTAATGGGCTTGTCTTCTGTCTTGGGGTCCGGGAGCCTCAAAGGAAGTAAGATTGCCCACCGTGAGGCCATATTGACACACACAGTTGTCATTAACTCTATTCGTAATGGATCCAAATGGGCGCATGTACTTAAAACGCACATACACAATTCTTCTTGTTCTCACTGGGATGGTTCAGTGGCACTCAGCTGAGTGGGGTCTGCCATGCATGACCACAGTTGTTTTCGTCTTCTCGCCCGTCCGCCATCTGCTCTGGAGCGGCATGTGAGAGAAGCAGCACGGCAGCATGTGGCACAGCGTGGCGGAGATTGGTGCGGCGCTGGGCGGCGCTTTGCTTTGGTGGAGCTTTTTCTTGTGAGTGTGTGCAGCCTGTGCCCGTACCGCCTGGCACACAGTGTGGTGGAAAGTTGCCCTCGATTACACATGCCCGCATGTGCCGGGCCACTGGCAAATTTCATAACCCCCACGCGCACACATTCGCGTTTGTCACAGGAAATTAAAAAGCTGATGTAGTTGACATGCAAACTACACACACTATATCATCGACAGCAAGTGAAACAGCAATAACCAACTCATGAGTTCTCACACTACCAGCTCTCCACAAAGATCTGACTTTGTCTCTAGGCCCGTTGCACACATGTTTTGGGCTGCTCTGAATGACATTAGAGCATTTCAGTGGCTATGCAAACCCACAGTGTACTGTATATACAGGGATTGTGTGGGTTGGGTGTGCCTTTCATGAAGTCAGAATGACTTTCGGCTACAGGGACGTGTGCTTTCAATTATGATCTGTAATCTTACTGCTTTGAGTATGTTCTGCTTTATGTGTATTTCTCTACTCTTTTGTAACAATCCATTATGCCTCTTCTATTGTGTTCTTTAAAAAAGGGGTGTGCCAGTGTTTTGCAGTTTTATGCATTGACTCACTGCCAGGATGATTACATTATTAAGCTGAATGCAGTACGTGTGTGCGTGTGTGTGTGTGTGTGTGTGTGTGTGTGTGTGTGTGTGTGTGTGTGTGTGTGTGTGTGTGTGTGTGTGCATGTGTGTGTGCGTGTGTGTGTGTGTGTGTGTGTGTGTCACTCACTGATGCAGGGGGCCACAGGCGAGCGGCTCTGCTGGTAGCCCTTGGCGCAGCGGTTGCAGGTGATGCCGGTGACGCCGTCCTTGCAGGGGCACTGACCGGTGGTCTGGTTGCACGTCTTGCCGGCTGCGCCCACAGGGTGGCAGTCACAGGCTGGGGTGGGGGAGGGGGTGGGGGGGGGTTAGGTGTGAGGAAGAGAGGGGGTGTGATACAAGAAGGAAGGGAGAGAGAACATACATTAGATGTTGATTTGTTTTAAACATTTGAACAAAATGACTCACTTTTATGACTATTTCTCGGTTATGAAAGATATGCATGTTACTGGGTAAAAAGGAACAAAAACATTTTCTTCCAAGGTGACACAAAGTTTGAAGCATTGCTTTAAATGTTGTCTCTAATGATTTTGCAGCAGACAACAGATAAGCGGTATGACTAAATGTTTGGTTCGGGGCTTCAGCGTCTGTTTCGATGCTTTGGGTTCCTTGAAACTGGGAACATTTGTTTGTTTGTGCGAAAAGAGAAATTCATTTAAAAAAGCGTGTTTGAAATTGTCAGGAGACAGAGAGGAGACCACTGTGCCCTCCTCTCTCCTCTCTGCTCATTTCCGCTCCCTAACCGCTGTCTGGTTCCTGCCAGGTGACACATGCTGCCGTTCATCACTTCCCAAACGTTCAGTCGATGCCCAGCGAAAGCCAACAGCAACAAAAAAATGCTCCGGTCACCTCGCATTTTATGACTTTTGCTGGTTCTGGGCAATTTATTAAATTCCCCTTGAGCAAGGTGAGGTTTTTTTGTATTTAAAGAGGTGTTAAATGAAAGAGCTGGCGTGTTGGTGAAGCCTAAGAGAGCTTTACTAGATGATAGATAGGATGAAGCAACACTTTGGAGAGTGAAATGTGAAGTGGAGGATCTGAGAGGAACAGGGATAGAGACAGCGTGTCAGTGTAGTCCAAACAGAGCCTCTGGTGTGCTGAGCAGCATAAACAACAGTGAATCTAACCAAACTGTGTCTACTCCGACTCCACTAAATAAACACACATTTGTTCTTTGAGTAATAAACGCATACTTAACATTTCACAGCAGTCCAGCCAGACAAACACATCAGTGACATATCAAAACAAATGTAAGACTTTTACATCTCGCTGAGTGGTCTGCAGGGGTGTGACTGATTAGTTTCACTTCGAATGTGACACTTTCTGTGCAAAACAAAACAAGTCCGAGGACAGAAAAGTATCCTCTCATATCTTATCTACCGACGTGCTGCCAGAAATAAAACAAAGCAAGGAAATGCAAGGGGAACATTCTGCCTTGTTTGCAATGTTAGTGTTTGGAAAACAGGCGCAGGCTAGTGCAAAATGAATGAAGGGAGTGACTCAAACGTAACACGATAGCTTTAATTGTCCAAACGTATCAAGGAAAAGACAAGAAAGGCCAAAATTACACTTTGGGGAAAAACCCTGTAACCCAACAGTTTGTTACAGGGCTTGCCAGAGGAAGGCAGCTGCTAACATGTCACGCTTTTTCTTCCCACCACTTGATGGAACTGTGAATGTGTTTATTTGTGCCGGAAATTTTGTTCGCTGCTACAACAGAGGAGAGGCTAAAGACCTTACCACCTGTTGACTGGGCAAAGGGAGGGTTTAAATGGCTGAAACTGACCCAGGAGTGATCGTGTGTGTCTGGCTGCGGGGTGGGGAAAGGGATTAACGGCGGCTCAGATCTTCAGAAACACGTTTGCCTTTTTCCCGGCAAGGCCAAAGCGGTCCACAGGTGTCAGAGTGCCTGCGCTCTGTTTGAAGCTGTGCACAGAGACGTAAATCTGATGCTTCAGCGTCCGTGCAAAACTCAAGCTTTGAGGAAACTCAAGCTTTGGTGGCACTTGGTAAGAGTTCCTGTCTGACTTAAAGGGAATACACATCTGCATATGGCAGGATGGCAGAGGTCAAATCAACAAGAGTCCCCCTGCTGTGTGTCTGATGCTCTGTGCCAACCACATCATCTCATCCACAAGAGCTGTTAACAGGTACTAATCTCAGATTTTGAATACTTTCTGGTTTCTTTACTTCTCTTGGAAACACTGATCAACATATCAATTTTCTGGCATTTTCTGAACTACTAATCTGTCATTCCTGTAGTTTGTTCCCCTCTCCTTTTCTGTTAAATAATTTGTCCAAAGCTCATGTGGGACTAACCCCCCCCCGTTATTTTATCTGATAGAAGTCTGTAGTCGGTCTGTCATGCCTGCAGAGACATGATGACGAACAGCACAAGCTATCAACTCAATCCTCTGACTACGAACAAGATGTGAGTAATGTTAGGAGTTCTCACTTGCCGTCTAAACAATCATAGGCCGTTAAGACATCGTAGTTTATTGTCCGTGCACATTGTTCCGTAAACAGCCAGCACAGATCTGAACGGGCTGTAAGAGGCAGGATGGGGACGGGGGTGCTGGTGTCAATCTCCACCCCCAGATCTCCTCCTTGAACTGCTTTTCTGAAGTTTTATGTGCAGGGGCTCGGGCCAGTTTAGAAGCAGTAAAAAGCGTCCTCAGGAGGTTGATGACTTTTCAAGCCTTTGCGACTGCCAGACGTGACAGGCAGTGCGTAGGGATTTGTAGTCCTTTGACAGGCTCAGTTTAACTGATTCGCGTTGCTCTGTGCCTGTGCGTGCATATGGGATAAAGCACTGTTGAGGACTGCTTTTTGTCTGCTGTTGTTGACAGTAGCATTGCACATTCAAATAGGGGTGTTATTTGTGCCCTTTGTTGGACATTTGTATCAGTAAGACATGTTTCGTGGCTTTTTAACTGTGAAAATACATAAAAATGTCAAAATTGTGCATTTCATGGGCAAAAAGAAAAAATCGAGATAATAAGGATCACATGTTTATGCTGCTATAGGCCAGGCACCACATTCCTAACCTAAAATGACCCTAAGGTTGGGTTGTGTAACACTTTCTGTTCGCAGTGTTATCTAGATCCTCATGCCCTGCTTTAAAAAGATATTGGACATAATATGACAAACTGCCAATGTGGTTTATGTTGGCCCGTGCTGCTTCAAATGGACCATGGCCTCCTTTTGAATGCCTTTTATCAATGCTCCTTGTGGTCAAACGGATAACAGCTGTACGGCTTGGACTCACATAAAAACCTTGTACTTTTGAGGAGCTCATATACTGCAGCCAGGCCATGTGGGGATTGCCATGTTTTTTTCATTTTGCTGGCTGCTAATGCTCGTGACACTGTAAAGGGCCCGCGGAGAGGCTGGTTCCTGGGCATTTGAACTGGAGAGCTGGCACCCTGCAGCTTTCTGTGTGTGGGTGGTGATGGAGGCAGTTACACCTCCTCATATACTCCACAGAGTGTGTATAGACACCCGTCCACAGAACACGTCTCATTCGAAACAGACACGGCCTGTTTGTCATCTCAGAGCCTGCGCGGCTACCCCCCACTCCTGTCTCGCCTCTTAGAAAAACACCTGTATTTTATTGCTCAGCCACACCGCACCTCTGACCTCTTTCTTGACCCTGACACATGGAGATAAAACACGGAGGAGGGCAAAAATCAGGGACTCTGCGGTAAAAGAAAAAAGACAAAGGTTTGAAGGCTCCTCGTGAGTCATGGTGAGATAAATTGGAGTTCTGGAGGAAGAGAAGATGGCGGTTATATCAAATCAAGGGAGATGGGAGATAAAATAAGTGAACAAGGCCTGATTTGAAGGAAAATGACAGCTCCTAGAAGGCTGTGGAATTGCTCCGATCAATCATGGAGCCAGACGCTCAGCGGTGGCTTTTCGGACGTTAACTTTCATTTCCGTCACATCTGGGGCCTTTGTGAGGGAGGGAGATAAACTGTTTACCACCTGATCGTGAGCTTTGATAAGGACAAATTGCACTGTCAGGGGGGTGTGTGTGTGTGTGTGTGTGTGTGTGTGTGTGTGTGTGTGTGTGTGTGTGTGTGTGTGTGTGTGTGTGTGTGTGTGTGTGTGAGAGAGAACATCACACAGCAAGATATTGCAGGAAATGGAAGATGAGGAAACAATTTGCACACGTGGACACACATCTCAGGACTGATCTCCTGTCAGATCTCCTTCTGTCAGCGCTTTGGTGCAGCAGCAGGTCGAGTTACTTCAGTTTGAAGGAATGTGACCAAGTCGCTGTGAAGTATTGCCATTATGTGATGCATGGCTCGACATCTTAGCGCAACTAACATGGGCAAGTGTGCCGTGATATCGTGCCATTTCTAACCTCCATGGTGTTTGGTTTCAGCTTGGGTCGGCTGCAGAAGGAAAACTGAGCGGCGGCCAGCGGGAGATTTTCGGCATGACATTTTAACCAAAAGATCTTCACGGCTATGAGCGTTGGCAGCTCTGTCTGATGCCGTTTTTTTATTATCTGGAAGTGATTCTTTACCTTCTTCAGGATCAAAAGGATAAGAAACACTTTCTCTCCGCTATTGATTTGAATATTTGCCTGAGCAACAAGTAAAGGGAACTGTTGTTATTTTAGCAATGAGTCCAGTAAGGCTTCCAGTAAAATATCAGGCTAAAAGATATTCACTGCAAATGTGAAATAATAAAGTGAAATATAAATATGTGTGTTCAAGATAAATGCCTTGGTCAAGTGATTATATTATGTGGTGTGTGTGGTAGAGAGAAACATGTTATGTGACAGCCAGAAAGGCTTTGGGCAAATCATACATTTGTTTCTCTTTGCTTTTGTATGGCAAGCTAGACATGCTGATATTTCTTATTAAAAGTTACCATGAGCGTGCGTGTCTGTAATCATAACTTTTCAGACGTGATTACATAAGTATTAGCGGGGTTAGAACGTCTCAATCAGCTTTTGTTTGAGCATTTTCTAAACATTTAGCACAGCATTTTGCCAAAAGAAAAGTCAAACTGACCTTAAATTAATAATCCGTGACATTTTCATATAAATAACCGTTCATTTCTGCTACTCGATTACTGATGGATACAACAGAAAAGTGATTCTTGTTCATGAGAACTTTTCCATTAGTAGTTATAAACATAGGGTTGGTAATTCTTTCCCAGAAACATTCTTGTGTTTTTGGTTTCTGACAGCAGAAGAAGAACTGGGTATTAAGTTTTGTATAAGCACTGATCAGCACCATGTATGAATAGAGCAAGAAAAGCGTGCCACGCAAACCTTATGAACAGAAAGTGGAAGAGAAAATAGAGCTTTGTTACTGCTTGATTGACAAATGATGTGTAGAAAAACGTGAAGCTATTAGCACCAAGGAAAATATCATGGAAACCAACTTGTAAAAGATCTATTACAGACAAATAAACTCAAAGCATTAAAGAAATATTTTACCCCTAAAATGATCACATTATTTAATTACACCATGTTACCTGGAATTTGGGAATAAAGCTGTGTTTATTCATTTGCCTCCAAAAACAGAGAACATTTGAGATAAATGCATGTAAATTGGGGCCGAGTTTAACAGCAAAACTACTTAAACTCGAACATTGACAAACTCTAACACAATTGATGCAGTATAATCCAGGTCATAGTCGTATGGTTCCTGCTTCCCAAACGCGTGCATTTTTCTTTGCTAAAACCTTACTATTACCGTATACCTTAGTAACCTAGCAATAACTGAAATTCATTATAGATTTCATCCTCTGCTTTTGGACTCTTTCTTAACAATTAAATAAGGTTTCCTCCAAGAATTCAAAGACGAAGTAATTGATATACAATTAAATGTTTTGAGAAAGAAGTAGCCCTTTAAAGGTCACCTATTATCCAAAATCTTTTTCATGTATTTTATACATCAACATGTGTCCCCTCTGTGGAAAGAGATTCTGAAAGTTTCAGGAAAAAAGCTTCACTCACTTTTTGTCCTGATTCATGTATATAAAAACCTGTCTGAAAATGAGCTGATCAGATTTTGGTCACTTTATGATGTCATAACGATTTTTTGGCTTGTGTAACCATTAGCCAATAGACAGAGAATCAGCACTTTTGAAACAGGGCTGAAACAGAGGGGATTATGGGATGCTGCAATGATCTGTTTGGTATTTCGAGCCAAACACTTCAGACACATGTTTTGTATATATCCGAGACCTATAATATATTGATGAAAAACAGTATAACAGGGGACCTTTAACTAGTATGCATTCTGCAACAGTTTTTTGTTGGACTTTACCTTTGCAGGCCCGTCGGTGGGTGATGGGTCGGGCCATGTCTCTGTAGAAGCCCTCCTTGCAGTAGTGGCAGTGGCGGCCTGCGGTGTTGTGGCGGCAGTTCATGCAGACGCCGCCGCTCTTCCTCCCCGACAGCTTGTACAGCTCCATGTTGAACCGACAGCGCCGAGCGTGGAGGTTGCAGTTGCACGCTGCAGAGGGAAGAAGAATGTTGTCAGTAATGTGATATAACATCAGCAAATGTGGGTAAAACTCAACGTGTCTTCAAAGTTAGAGGAAATGTTCCCATGGAGCGTGCATTGCAGTTTAACTTGTGCTCACTTCCGTGTATATCACAAGAGAGCTGGCGGAGACTTTCCAGTAACAGCGAGTGCTTTATAATCCACACTGCGGCTGTGTGCTTGGCTGCTATTCAAGAACTCATCAATCAAAAGAGATATTTGCAGAGCTCATTTTCTCCATTTCATAATTAATGAATTCAGCTTTTCTCAGTCCATTAGGTATTAATCACTGCAAAGAGAGACATCAATTTCATGAATCACTGATGGGTAAAGGCTCCTAAGATCTATTAAAAGCTAGACATTCTCAGATAAAGAAGTGGGCTGGAGCTAGCTGTCTTCTAAATGAGGCGAGTCGCAATATATGGGCCATAAGAAGTGAGGTAATATCTTTTAAAAGTTCCTCGCAGTTCCACTTGAAATCCAGCGGATTCCTTTATGTCTTTTCACCTCACCATTATTTCCTCCACATTAGGCCTCGTTCACCAGCTCTGACATATCCACTCTCTTCATGTGGGGTTTGCATTTGAGCAGCATAATGAGAAACCTTGCCTTCTTGTTTGTGTAACAGAGTTTGATCCATACCCTCTGCTGCTAAATCAGAGTCAGACCTGAGACATGAAGACTTGGCCGTGGCTTCAAAGACGAGCTAAGCTCCGGTTCAAAGTGATCCGCAGATAAATTAGAAAGGGGTAAACAACAGCAGAGATGTTTGACCAGAAATGTCAACAGTTATGGCAAACAAGGATTATTAGGGCATCACAACAGAAGGTGATATTAATTATTCTGGTGGGAACGGATTGTGAAAAATGCACTAACAATGGATGTTTTGAAGAGAATAAAGACACAATAATGGGGAATAAGTGAAGACAGACTGTCTGAAGTAATAGGAGGCTCTTTATGCGAGTGGCTTTGCGTGCATTACAGTGACTAGTGAAAAGACAGAAATTAATCTAAAACTGACAACACAAGAGCAGCAATGATAGGTTTTGAGAATATATTAACCTTTAAAGTAATTTTTAATGCAAAAAGGTTCGGGAAAATTGGTTAAGCCTCCCAAAAATGAAGATTTACTTGTTTTCTCAGTTTAATATATCTCATTAAACTTAAATAATTGCCAGACTAATCAAAAATCATTGATATATTTTAAACTCTGACATCCTTTGGAAAATGTTCTGTTTCCTTTCCGTGTGTGAGTTTGGAGCATGTGTGAAAATGCAACAAATATAAGTTGACATATCATTTTAAAGTCTCCTCCTCCCTAGCTGACACTGCTGCTGCAGCCAAGGTCAGTGCAGCAGTTACACTGAGCTCAATGATGTGTATAATGTGAAATGATCTCCTCTAGGTGATCAAATATCACTTGTAATGACAGTCATGGTTCTTTCAGATAAGGACAATGACTTGAATAGGATACATGTGATTTGTGAGCAGTGAAGGCTATGCACCTCCATCCAAACTGAAGGGGAAGCCTGGCACCAGATTGGGAAAGAGGCCCAGTTTTCCCTGGTCGCAGACCCTGGAAAAAAAGGGGGAGCACATTCCCAGACTCTTTCCCAATTCCATCTGGTTATTACGCAGCCCAATTTGTATGGAATTCTGCAGTTAATGAAATGCTGCTTCTCGATGGATCAATATTGAGGCAGCGCTGTTTGTGTAGAGACACTGCTGCTGCTTTGGTGCGCTCTCAAGATCTCGTAGGCTCAAGATGTGGATTGACCTCTGACCTTGGGGAATTGTCCAAAGGAGATACAGAGGGCAGCTTGCACGTTGCACAAAGCTTTTTATCTTAAGTGATATGGTCCGTGTTTAAGCTTTAATAAAACACCAAATTCATGATTATCTGTGTGAACTAAACAGCCTGTCGGACTTCTTCTAAAAGCAATGTGACAGAAAACACACCCGCTCCGGTGAGTGTCTGGGCTGTTGGTGGGGAGAACAAGGTGGGGGACTGTGATTATGATCAAGCGTCTCAAACACACACACAGCTGTGAGCACTTGTGACCATTAACACCTTGTAGCAGCACATGAAAGCCACGGATCACATTCTCTCCCCGGCTGGAGCACCGACGGTACCTCTGATGGCATCTTCTCGACTCACAGCTGTGCAACAAGTTCGGCCGACACAGTCTGAAGTAGGAGAGGATATGTTGAAGCGTGGAGAATGTAAAGAAAGCTCCAATTGAATGGTTTAGCATGTGTGGCAGTGATGGCTTTAACACCTTTTGTGACAGTTGTGACGGAGAATGAGGGAATGGTAGTTCATTGGAAAAAAGGTGAATGAAATTGAAGTCCAAAAAGGTAATTGCTTTGAAAAAACAATCAGGCAAAAAGCATTCAATTAGGTGTTTGTATGTTTGTATGGTTTTCATGCTCTGTGGACTTCACTTCAGCTTGGAGCTGCAGCTGCCCAAGGATCCTGGAATGTTTATGGGTTTGTTTTGAAGTGCTACACACACACACACTCACACACACACACACACACACTCTCTGAGACCCCACTTTCCCCCCAACCTGCCGTCCCTCTCCACCGCAGCAGCCCCCCTCACGCAAATTAGGCTCCGCGGGGATAACCGAACACTGTTGAAGGCCGTTTTTCAATTCATTAACACATCAAAGCCTCGCAAGTGCTACGCAAAGATCCCTCACTAACTCATATCTGTCAGAAGGGAAAAAACAGACAGACTTTTTTTGTTGTTCTGCATTCTGTCGGTGGTGGAAAGTCAGCAAAGAAACCGAGATCCTCCAGTGAAGCGTGGCTCCTCTATGGGTCAGTGTCCAATTCAAGGATGCAAAAATCTGGTTCCTCGTGTTGTCGTGGAAATCAAACAACAAACACAAGCTACGAGCTTGGCAAACAGAGGGATGCTGCAACAAAGAGAGGAATCGAGGCAAAGGAGTAAAAAGCCCCTAGGAAAATATTAGTGGAGAATAGTTGCACCACTTTGTCATCACAATGAATCGAGCCAAATGCAAATGTAGATGGAATAACTGCTAAGAGTAAATGTTTTGTTTTTATCCAATATCTTACTCCGTGCAGTTTGTGATCTACGTTGAGCTTACTTTTTTAAACACATGCAAAAATAGGTATATTTCAGGTCGACTGGCAGAAGAACAAATAACTGTTACATTTCATTACAGGTGCCTCAACACGTAATAATGCTCTGAACAAGCGCTTGGTCTGGTGTGTCATGTGTGCTGTGACAAGTTGGCCCGTAAAGACTGAGACTCAAAAATGCAAGTGTGTTTGTGGAGTCCTCTTCATATGTCAGGGATAAATCTAACCTTATTTTCCCTTCAGCTTCACCAAAGCCAAGCCAGTAAGCACAGCCAATTGATTTTGGAAGCCTGTGCAAAACCCAAATCCCATGGCTAAAATTGGTCCTTGAAAATTGGAGGACTGCTCTCCCACCATCACCTCTCCCCTCTTGGCCCAGGCCTGTAGTGCAGACCTGCTGCAGCCCCCTTGGGTTCCTTCTCCGCCTGGCCAAACAGGCTCTGCTATATGGGATCCTGCCATGATGTGTGTGTAAGTGTGTGTGTGTAAGTGTGTGTGCCGGTGTGTGTGTGTGTTTGGGCTGAGTTACGCCTGGCTGCTCCAGCCACCTGCTCAGGGCACCGGGGGGAACACCCGGTTAATTAGCTCCTCATTAGAGCCAAGGCAGTGTACAGTGTGGGCAAACACACACACACACACACACCAACACACACACTAGAGACACTGCTTCAAGGGTTTGTAACCACTCACAAAATGACATGGATCAAGTGACAAATGCTGAAAAAAAGTCAAACAGAAGTGAGACTTACACGGATGTAAATACCGCAGAGAGTGGACTCTAATGAGCTGTGGACTCAGATTTAAGAGGTTAAGAGCTCCGAGCTGAAGACTAACAGGAAACTACAAATGCTGTAGTCCTGCTGTGTTAAAGTAGCTTCTCCCTCTTTGTAACAAAGCCACTTGCTCTTTCCATCTCCTCCACACAGCCATATCGTTCTCCTCTGGCTCTGACACCACGTCTTAGCCGTCCCCCTCCCCTCCGCTGGTTTCTGCGGTTAGCCTCGCGCCGTGGGCTTAAGAGCCGGCTCTTGGGAGCCCTTTTGAACTGAGAGTCCCCTTAATTCCTCTCCCACCCCTCCCCTAAGCTTCCCTTCCTCGCTGCTCTTACTTTCATGAGACACCATCCCAAATACTCTCACTGGTTGCCTCTCCCTCTTTTCTTTCTCTTGTCCATCCTTTCCTCTGTCTCCCCTTCCTCTTTCTCTGGATGGCATCAGGCGGGGAGAGATTTTAACAAGATTAGGCTGGAGGGTTGCCATGTCGGGGGGCCTGGTGTCAGCGGAGAGTTGAGTCCTTAGCTCTACTCCCTCTCTCTGGTCTACTTCACTTCCCCACATCTAAACATTGTTATCTGTGTCCCGCCTTTTCCTTCACTCTCTGTCTGTCTCGGTTGCTTTTATTTTGTTTCCCACCGGCAACATCCTGAAGTCCTGAGCGCAGGAGTAGACGTCTGCTGTGCAATCAAATTATCATGGTGAATCAGTCAAAACCGAGGTAAAAACAGATGTACTTTTGACATGACTCTTGGCATTCACAACCATGAGGTCCAGTCAGGGGGATGCATGCCATGCCTGGGCTGGTTTAGAAATAGAAAGTGACAGATGGAGCCTACTGTGGAAATTCACCAATGTGGCCAGAGATGATAGTAGAGATGCTGAGGGAAAACCTAATGGTTTTAGTTTTTCTCTGATCAGGTTGAGACGCAGCAAGGAAAGCAGATGAGTCCTGGCCTGAACATTGATGTCTGACAAAATCTATTGCAACAACCACCATGTAGTTTTCAATTTGAAATGAGATTACTATCAGTTTTAATGAGATTTTTTAGCCGACAAGTTTTCGTCCAACAAATGGTTTC